CGTCATTGTTATATCGTTCAAAGTGTTCAAGCGATGAAGCAGAAGCGGTGCATTCCTAAAACAGCTGGTTGACGCCTATCAAAACTTACCAATTTGTGCCCTGCTGGAGCGCACAACATATACGTAAAAGCAAAATTTAGTGTTTAACGCGTTCAAATAACCGCAAAAAAAAAAAACAACTGCTTATCCCACCTGCTGCGGAGCTCACACGGTCCACATGCAATGCATAATTTCTTTTTCAACAATTATGGAAGCTCGAGCTAAGCGACTACCCATATATCAGCTAGAGAAGCACACGAAAATTAATTTTACAACTAGGAATTGTGCATAGACGAAGATTATGCTTACACAGAACCGCTCTTCTAATCTATTCAATAGTCTAGCTCTGCAGGAACATAAATCCATTTCCCCCTCTTATTTGCCCCATACAAGAGATGAAGCGGCAGCAAATGTCAACAGCAATTACCAGCAAGCAAGGTCTCCTTCCTTTAAGCATTGATTATAAGAAAACTACTGGCGGCTTCGACAACCTGGCATGCGCCGGCTGCAATTTACTATTGAAATGAACAATTAACTCTTAAAGGAATTGATTGTTCCACTGACGGAGATGAGCCCAGGATCTTCAAAACGAAAGAAGCACTACTTTCCACCGATAATACCTGGTTACAATACAGAATAAATGGCTAACACACCAACTGCCGATGCGAAGATGTGTTTTTCGGCACCGGATTTTTATGCGTTTTTGCATATATGCAAATGCGAAAACGCATATTGTGACGACCGCGGTGTGTGTGTGTGTGTGTGTGTGTGTGTCTGTCCGGGTATTCCAACTCGGCACCCAAGCAAGCTTCGGAGCCAAAATTTTGCAGGTGGATTCCCTGGTCAAGTGCCACGCCAGGACCGCGGTACCAACCCTCTAGCACGTCTAGGCCCCGCGTACGAGCGCCACAAAGTTTTGGCGGTAAAATCGCTAACTCGAGCACCAGAAAAACTAGAAAGCTGAGATTTTGGGATTATGTTTCCAGTCGAAGTAGAGTTCAAAGGTTTCAG